TTCACGTAGCTGAATGTGCGTATCTTAAATCGACTCCCCCCTGTAGTGTAGATGTACCCAAAGGCAGTGAGCAAAGAGGGAGAGGTGGACTAGGAGGCACACCAGCCAGGCCATGCAAGAGATTCATACTTGATATATATTGTTGGGATAGAGCACCCCATAGGGAAGAGGAACACATGATTTCTCGGCTGAAGCACAGAAGTGACAGTCCGGAGATCCTGGTTCTGCCATTGCCCTGTTGTTCAACCTCCAGCAAGTCACTTGCCTCTCATGTTGTCATTTGTAAAATGAAACTAATATTTCCCTGCATAGTGAGGTGGGGTATAGTGAGAATTTAATTAATGTATGTAAAGCCCCTTGAGATACTCAGATGGACTCCTACAAAGGCAGTGAGCAAAGGAGAGGTGGAAGGAAAGGCACACGAGCCAGGTGACGTGCAGTTCCTTTTCCCTTCTGCGTGAACTGCTCAAGGCAGGACAAACTGATAAAAATGATGTTCTCCACCCTTTGATCTGCACTGCACCAACTTATTGTCATTATAAATGCCTTTGCAAATGCCTCTGAAAGGGATCCTTCCAGAACCCTTGAAAGTCTTGCAACTAATCAGTTCAGAGCATGAGGAATCCCCTATTTTGCTTATAACCAGAGTAACAGTTTATCATCCTTTAAACTAGATTTATGCCTTCTACCAATCCCTATGTCACACAATAAATGTAACTCTGTTTCATTGAATTAGCTGTCAACAGTGATGGCAGAATCGAAGGCACTTCCAGTAATTAAAGCCAATTCTCTTTAACTTGATGTGGTTAAAGGTCTCTCCGGTCAGACAGCATGTAACATAGATACTGGATTTACAAAATGTAGGAGGTGGAGGTAAAGATCTCTCACCATTATTGCAGACAAATGATCTTTAGTAATGAACAACAAAGCCTGCATGAAATTCACTTAACAGTGTTTTTCAGTGCAGCAAATTAGTAATTTATGCTTTATTTTATTGTAACACCCTCCAAATCATTTATTTAGTAGCACGCAGCTAAAGCCTTTCTTCTTTAAAGAGCTGTAACACAAAGAGAGAGAGATCCTTTTTGTTACTAAGATTAGTATTTAGCAGGAGATGGTTTGCTGACTTGAAATCCAAAAAACATTTTGCTAAAGAAATTGCTGATTTTAGGAGCTTTCAGCATAGAGGCTTCAACCCTGAATATGATACCCGATGACTTTTTGCATAAAATCTGTATTTTAAAATGTGTTCATATCTTCAAGAATGAAAGGAAATAGATCAGGTTTGTGTATATATGCCTCAATTCAGATTCTCCAGCCGGTACAAATTGGGGATGCACCAAGATACGTGAGCGCACAAACGCACACACACACACGTCTGGCAGTGGGTCAGGACATTTCTTCTCTTGCTCTTGTTCCTTATTTCTTCCTCCATGCTGCATCCTGTCAGGACAGAATGATGTGATGTGATAAAGTCCTGTGTCAACTGGTGCGCTTCCTCCACTTCCTACATGTACATTAGCCGCTGTGCAGGTATTGCCTTCTGCCGTCTCCTCTTTTCTCATACCTGGCAGAGCAGCCTGGAATAATTACAGTCCCTGATTTCCTCAGAGTACTGGACCAATGAGACAGAACACAAACGATAGGAGGCACCAACCTTCATGCACTCAGCTGCCCAGCAGGGGCATATGAAGCACCCACTCAAGGGATGCAGCAGCAAAAATACTCCCCCACATGCTGGAGAGAGAATTCCTGCGCAAACGCCCTGGGGGCAGTGCAGCTCTGCAGCACTTCCAATGCAGGGCTCTGCCTTAAAGGCACAGCTGAGCTCACGGCTAGGGGAGATGAGGAACTCAGCCCTTTCAGGTGATTTAGAAAGACAGCTACACTGTCTTCTCCTTTATTTAGGCCTCCATTCATTACTCCTGAGGCATTCTGCGCCAAAAAATCTGCACACAGTATTTTAAAATTCTGCAAATTTTATTTGTAGGCTCCAGCGTGGCCGTGGGGAGCACAGACCACAGGCTGAACTCACCGGTACAGCTCCCCAGACACAGACTCAGTGGTGAGGCTGCATCCAACCCTGACACAGCCCATGGACTGGGCCTGCCACAGAAACACCCCCGGGCCCTGCCCCTTCGTGCCGGGTGCACCAGGTGTGGGCAGGCAGGCTCAGCAGGGCAGGATCCTAGTGTGGAGGGGCCTAGTGTGGGGGGGATCCAGGTGTGGGTTGAGAGGGTTCTGTCTGGGGCAATCTGGGTGCAGGCGGCTCAGTGGGGGATCCGGATGCACAGGGGCTTGTTAGGGGGTTCTGGTTGCAACAGTAATGGGACACTGCAGGGGGGTCCAGGTGAAGGTGGTTGGGGCTCAGCTGCAGGGGAGGTCTGGATGTGGGGGGGATAGACCTCAGCAGGGGAGTTTGGGTGTGGCGGGCTCGGGGAGGGGGGAAGTGTCCAGATGCTGGGGGAGTGGGGCTCAGTGGGGTGGAGATCCAGGTGTGGCTGATTGGGGCTCGGTGGGGTGAGGGTGTGGGTGGCTCCTCAGGGTGGTCTAGGCGCAAGGGGAATGGGGCTCATGGGGGGGGTTCTGAGTGCAGGGGAGGTGAGGATTGGTGGGAGGGTCTGGGTATGAGGGGGTCTCGATGCACAGAGGGTTAGGTGGATGGGGGAGCAGCTCCCTGTTCAGGGATCCCTCTCCCTGCAGCTAAGAACCAATGGGTACAGGAATTGGTGGTGGGGGGGAGGTTTGCAGAGCTTCCTGAAACTGGGGGAGAAATCGGGATGGGTCTGACCCAGCCCCGGATGCCACGCAGGGGAAGAGGAAGCCAGGACTAGCAGCTGAGCCTGGCACAGGGTAGGGAGCCGTGTCTTCCTCAGTCCCACCCCCTGCCCCACAGTGATTTAGCTCTCTACCAGCTGGGGAAGGGCTCATGACTGCTCTTGTGGCTTCCCCTTGCTTCCCTTTCAGAAAGTCATTTTTCTGTGGGGAAGCAGAGAAATTTGAGGGGGACATAAATTCTGCACATGCGCAGTGGCACAGAATTCCCCCACGAGTACTAAATTAGTGAACCGATACTAACCACCCTGTTCTGCCCTCAGCTACACCTGTCCAACTGACATGATAGTCAGGGAGAGATTTGTGTTAGGGTCAGGTCAATCAGTGCTGCCAAACTTGTAACCACAGGGGGCTCAGCAGTGTCCTGTTTAATGCCACTGCCCCAGTGTTGCATGCTGTGGCATACAACCTGCTTTGGTGATAACTGGAGCCTCCTGCGTTAGCTGCATTTCTCGCACCTTAATGTGGCCCTGGCTGGGGCAAGTGGCATATTCCCACCTCTTCTTGTTTAATAGGAAAACTCCACCCATTACGGTGCGCCCCATTCCCTAGACACATGTACATTCTGTTTGTACCCTCCCACCGCCACTGACCACCTCCTTCATCAACTGGTGGCCTATGTAGGAATTTGAGGATGGTCCAGGGAGAGGAGAACGTCACAGAGTGAATCATAGGCTTCCCAGCCAGGGGGATCACGCAAATGCCTTCATAGGGGGCCTAGATTTGCTTGGGTCAGCCCTAATTTGCATGTCTATCCGGCTCAAACCACTATTCATTTCCTTTGGTATTGGCCTGCGGGTCAATTCACAACAATGATGTAAGTGCGTCATTTTACTGCCCAGAAAAGAATTTCTGTGTCTTTTGTTCCTGACTCAGGAGAAAACTTAGCACTGATGTGTCAGTGGAAAAAAAAAACAGACTAGAATACAGGCAAGTGAAACTGGCCAGTGTGAAGGTTAACATGGAAAACACTCCTATGAGAGCCCAAAAAAACTGCACACATTTCCTCCGGTAGAAGATTTAAAGAATTTCAAGCGCACAGATGCCATTCTGTTATGCTCAGGGACACCCTACCTCTGACCAGTGAGCCAGAATAGGCAGAAAGAGCATTCCTACAGGAATAAGATGTGAAGGATTTACTGCTAGAGGAGTCTCTCTGGAGACAAAGTGTTTCAGTGCTGTGACAACCACTCATCTTTCATGGTCCCAATGCACTGCTACAGTGCCACTGGGCAAGACCAGTTATTATTCGAAGCCAAGCAGAAGGAAAGCATACCCACAGCTCACTGAGCAAATCATTTCTGCTAAGACAAAACTCACCTGATCCAGAATGTCCAAATATCACTTTCCCCTCTAGCTCCCTCGCTCCTATTCTAGGAGGGAATTTGTCACAAGGTGAAGCTGTAATTAACAGAATACAATGCTGCAAGCCGCTCAGTGTGTGTTTCCCTGAGGAAGGTCATTCACTGCAATTGCATTTCCTAATACAACTGCTTCATGATGCTAAAAATGTGCATCGTTTTATGATCTTTGGCAAGGCAAGGGCTTTCTAAGAATAGTAAATGAAGTCCACAAGATTTGCCTGAGCAATCTTCCTCTCCAAACACATATCTCACCCCCTTAATTATTTGCTTTTCATCTATCTACTCTTCATCCTGTATCCTCTCTTTCAAGATTTGCCAAGATTCATGATCCTCCAAGACAGCTAATGTTCACAGGTACAGGGATAGGATAAGACACAGAGGCAGAGCCTTTTCAGCAGCTACACCCCAGCTACACCTAATGAGGGCAGCCAAAGCCAGACTTTATACAGGTCTCAATGGAAGACCCATCTCCTGGTAAGTCCTTCCTCCAGGAATAGCATATTCCCAGGATCAACTCACAACTGTAGAGATAGGATGGAAGGAAAAACAAAATGAAACTCACACAATCATGCGCACTGGGAACAAGGCAAGGGTGAGGGTTTTGCCAGTTAGGCAATGCTCAGGAACAGCTTGAATTGGCATGCAGCACTTAGACACAACATCAATAAGCACCTCTGATTAGACAGGCTGAGAGAAATGACTGAGTAACTTACATTTCAAACTAGATTATTAGATAAAACTTGGGGAACAGCTCCCCATTATTTATGTAGGTTACGACCATTTCAGTAAAGATCACAGTACCTAAAATAGCAACCACCTCATCATCCTGTATGACTTCTAGGGATCCCGACACCACAAAGCAGAGAGCGTCTACACTTTCTCCAGCATGGTAGATGAGGTCTCCTGGAGCACAATGAATAGTCTGAAACTCCACAGCCAGGGCCCGCAGGCAGCCATCACTAGCCAGTCGAAAGGCAGGGTGCTCGTTAAAAACCTTCCGGTTCAGATGCACGCAGATATCTGCCCTCATGTCCTTGGGACAAATGGAAAGAACCTGAATAAAGAAGGGAAAAAAATCAGCTGGGAATATGATACAAGATCAGTAGGTGTTTTAAAAAACTGCTTCACAAAAAGACATTCCTACAGCAGAATATTTTTTACCAGTGTCACCTTCAGACAGTATTCAGAGAAAGTTTTCCATCTATGTCCGTGATATGGGGATAATGATACTGATCTCATTTGTAAAGTGCTTTGAGATCTACTGATGAGCAGTCTTATGTAAGAGCTAGGCATTATTACATCAGTTCCTACAAACATAAATTCTACAAAACACACCATTTACAGTTGGCACTAATTGGCACCCGTGTTGGCAGTCTCAGCAGCCTGGGCATCTGAATTACCCACTTATTGACAGAGATGGTCCCTGTGAAAGCAGAGAATTGGGGCACATTGATTAAGGCAGTGGTGGAAGCCGGGCTGTTCCCTGCTTCAATGCTTCTAAATGGGCAAGAGTAGGAAAGCAAACCCCAGCACTTGCACCTTCGGATCCAGTTTGTAAAGATGGGAAGCTATGCACAAACCACCTCATTATCTGTTCAGCATGTGCACATGTGAGCTATTGAAAGTGCTACTGATGTATGTCCTTTAAAAACCTGGCCCCCAAAGCCTTGAAATAGATGATCATTTATTATGTGCATTATGAAAGCACCTACAGTCTCAACTGAGATGAGATCCCCATTGTGCCTGGTGCTGTATAAACACATAATAAGGGACAGTCCCTTCCACAAAGAGCTTACACTCTGAATAAGATACCAAAAGAGCTTCAAGATTAGAACAAATATGAACAAAAACGTTATGCAATCTCATAATAAGAAATATAAAGCACAAGTGAGTGAAAAGCCGCACTGTGAACCTGACGACAGCCAATGATAGATCACTTGATCTTGGCCATCCTGTGAGATAAATTCTTACCGTACGTGGCTTTTCCTACAGATACAATAAAGGGAAAGTTAGCAAAGCCTAACCAGTTAAAGAAAGAAAGTGACAAACTGTGAATCACCAGTAATTATAAGAACTAGGCTTGTGAAATGCACATTTAACATGAGCACATTTTCTCAAACTTGCTAATAGTGATGTAAATCCTTAAGTACATGGTAGCTAATTTACTTGGGAATATTCTCTTTTTAAGACTGCTAACAAAAATGTATGACAAGGTGTAAATTAAGCCCAATGGACACAAATTAACTACACTGTGAAAGTCTCATATATATAGAAAACTGCAGGTCAACAAATAACACTGCGCAAGTTCTCACCTTACTGAATTAAATCAGTTCGCTCCACAGGCAATAATGAGATACAGTCTCCAGTTCATGAACAGTTTGCCAGACCTTAGAATGTCAAGGAACACTTTAGCAGAGAAATCCAGGCAACACTGAACTAACTTTGTGGCAACCATGCTCATGTTAATGTAGGAATTAAAGTTAGAATTTTAATTTCTGTTCAATCAAGATCTGTTATAAAGAATGATATTATTATTATTGTACGATATTGCTAAAAGGTCCAAAGCATAGAATTGTCAGACAATAAACTATCTAAATCTTAATTAATTACATTAATATGTGTCCCTTTCTTGTTTTAATAGATCTAAGTCATACTGTTATCTTTGAGATAATGGATTGGAAAACAGTCAAGGTAAATTTTAAGCATATATATTCACAAATGTTTAAGACCAAAAGGGACCATTCTAATAATCTAATCTGAACTCCCTCATAATACAGGTCACAGAACCTGGCACAGTAATTTTTACATCTAGCTCATAACTTCTGGTTGAACTACAGTACATCTTTCAACAAGACATCCAATCTTGATTTTAAAGACTCCAAGTGATGGAGAATCCACCATGTCCCTCAGTAAGTTCTTCCAATGTTTAATTACCCTCACTGTTAAAAATTTGCATCTGAATGAATTTGTCTAGCTTCAGCTTCCAACCATTGGATCCCATTAAGCCTTTTCCTGTTAGATTAAAAAGCCAGCTACTGTTTTTCTCATGTCTCCTGTGGGATCCTGCAAAAGATGATGATGGGATGGAATCTTCCATAGGATAATGGTTTCCCATTTACAATAACTTTTGAGATCTACCAGCTAGCCAATTTTAATCAATTTAATAAGGGTTACATTGATTTTGGTTGTGATTTTTTTGTCAGAATGTCATGCAGGACTAAGATAAATGCCTTACAGAAGTCTAGTATAATATGTCATCAAAAAACAACAACAAGTTAGACAAGACTTGTTTTCCATAAAGCCATGTTGCCTGCCACCGTCTTTTAATTCTTTACCGATTGTGTCCCCTATCAGCCTTTCCATGATTTGGCCCGGTATCGATGTCAAGTTAACAAGACTATAATTACCTGGGTCATCTCATTTAACTTTTTGAAATATTTGCACAATATTAGCTTTTTCCTCTGCAACTTTCCCAGTTTTCCATGATTTGTTGAAATCGAACATTAATGGTTTAGATAGCGTCTCAGCTAATTCTTTTAATACTCCTGGGTGCAAGTTTTCAGGACCTGCTAATTTAGAAATGCTTACATTTAATAGCTGCTGTTTCAATCCTTCCTATTTACTTCTGGAATAGAAACTTTTTCCTTATTACTGAAAGATATGAATACATCACCCTGCTTCTCTCCAATAATAATTATTGACTATTTCTTCCTTTTCTGCTTCATGACTGGCAACTTTACCATTCTTATCTAGTATTGCTAGGATTTCCTTTGTTAACAGTGTCATTCTTTTAATAATATAAATGATTTTGACTAAAAGAGGCCATGATCCTTGAATTTCCAAACCCCGTGTTCATAATATATCTTACATACACCTAAATGATTTTGGCTTCCAAATCTTATGTTCCAACCTTCTATACTTTGGAAGGAAAAAAGAGTGGACTCAACACCTCTCAAACTCTAATTACTGTAAAATATTACAGAGGGAGGACAAGAATTGTATCCTGAGAGCTTCTCAGATTTCCTGGTTTGTTTGTTGTTTGTTTAATATAAAGTGATCATACTCATCAAAAATAAAAGATATTCATATACCCAAGAAACTTATTAAAACCATCCAAATACAGTTCAATGAGTTAAAAATACAGTACCAAGTGATCAGTCATTCAAACACTATTCCTATCTTTAAAAAGGGGAACAAAGAAGATCTGGGGAATTATAGACCAGTCAGCTTAACTTTGATACCTGGAAAGATATGGAACAAATTATTAAAAAATCAAATTTTATGTACCTAGAGAATAATAGGGTTATAAGTAGGGCTGTCGATTAATCACAGTTAAGTCACACAATTAACTAAAAAAAATTAATCATGATTAAAAAAATTAATCGCATTTAATCACACTTTTAATGTCACTGTTAAACAATAGAATACCAATTGAAATGTATTTGTGGATGTTTTTCTACATTTTCAAATATATTGATATCTATTACAACACAGAATACAAAGTGTACAGTGCTCACTTTATATTATTTTTATTACGAATATTTGCACTGTAAAAATGAGAAAAATAGTATTTTTCATTTCACCTCATACAAGTACTGTAATGCAATTTCATTACCATGAAAGTGCAACTTATAAATGTAGATTTCTTTTGTTACATAACTGAACTCAAAAAAGACAACGATGTAAAACTTTAGAGCCTACAAGTCCACTCAGTCCTACGTCTTGTTCAGCCAATCGCTAAGACAAACAAATTTTTTTAAATTTATGGGCGATAATGCTGCCCGCTTCTTATTTACAATGTCACCTAAAAGTGAGAACAAGCGTTTTCATTGCACTTTTGTAGCTGGCATTACAAGGTATTTACATGCCAGATATGCTAAACATTTGTATGCCCCTTCATGCTTTGGCCACCATTCCAGAGGCTATGCTTCCATGCTGATGACAATCGTGAAAAAAAATCTGCTACTTAAATTTGTGACTGAACTACTTGGGGGAAAATTGTATGTCCCCTGCTCTGTTTTACCCACATTCTGTCATATATTTCATGTTATAGCAGTCTCAAATGATGAGCCAGCACATGGTGTTCATTTTAAGAACACTTTCACTGCAGATTTGACAAAATGCAAAGAAGGTACCAATGTGAGGTTTCTAACGATAGCTACAGCACTCAACCCAAGGTTTAAGAATCTGAACTGCCTTCCTTTTCAGAAGTCTTAAAAGAGCAACACTCTGATGTGGAAACTACAGCTCCTGAACCACCAAAAAAGAAAATCAAACTTCTGCTGGTGGCATCTGACTCAGATGATGAAAATGAACATGGGTTGGTCCGCACTGCTTTGGATTGTTATCAAGCACAACCCCTCATTAGCATGGATGCATGTCCCTTGGAATGGTGGTTGATGCATGAAGGACATATGAATCTTTAGCGCATCTGGCACGAAAATATCTTGCAACACCAACTACAACAGTGCCACGCGAACGACTATTCTCACTTTCAGGTGACATAAACAAGAAGCAGGCAGCATTATCTCCTGCAAAATTAAACAAACTTGTTTGTCTGAGCAATTGGCTGAACAAGAAGTAGGACTGAGTGGACTTGTAGGCTCTAAAGTTTTACAATGTTTTATTTTCGAGTGCTTTTTTGTACATAATTCTACATTTGTAAGTTCAACTTTCATGATAAAGAGATTGTACTACATTATTTGTATGAGGTGAATTGAAAAATACTATTTCTTTTGTTTTTTACTGTGCAAATATATGTAATCAAAAATAATAATATAAAGTGAGCACTGTATACTTTGTATTATGTGTTGTAATTGAAATCAATATATTTGAAAATGTAAAAAAAGTCCACAAATATTTAAATAAATGGAATTCTATTATTCTTTAACATCATGATTAATCATGCAATTAATTTTTTTAATCGATTGACAGCCCTAGTTATAAAGAATAGGTAGCATGAATTTGTCAAGAACAAATCATGTCAAACCAACCTATTTTCTTTCTTTGACAGGATTGCTGGCCTAATAGATGGGGGGATGCAGTAGACGGGGT